GTCACAAAGCACCGAGCTGATCTCCCTGTGCTATGCAGCTGCTTTCCACTAGCTATCTATTATACATTTGGTAGTGTATATATGTCAGTGCTACTCTCTCACTTCATCCCAGCTTCCCCCTCCCCGCTGCGTCCTCAAGTCTGTTCTCCACGTCTGCATCTTTATTCCTGCCCTGCCACTAGGTTCATCAGTACCATTTTTTTAGCTTCCATATATGTGCGTTAGCATCTGGTATTTGTTTTTCTCTTTCTGCCTTACTTCACTCCGTATGACAGACTCTAGGTCCATCCACCTCATTACAAATAACTCAGTTTCATTCCTTTTTATGGCTGAGTAATATTCCATTGTATATATGTGCCACATTCATCTGTTGATGGACACTTAGGTTGCATCCATGTCCTGGCTATTGTAAATAGAGCTGCAATGAACATTTTGGTACATGACTGTTTTTGAATTATGTTTTTCTCAGAGTATATGCCCAGTAGTGGGATTGCTGGGTCGTATGGTAGTTCTATTTTTAGTTTAAGGAACCTCCATACCATTCTCCATAGTGGCTGTATCAATTTACATTCCCACCAACAGTGCAGGAGGGTTCCCTTTTCTCCACACCCTCTCCAGCATTTATTGTTTGTAGATTTTTGATGATGGCCATTTTGACTGGTGTGAGATGATATCTCATTGTAGTTTTGATTTGCATTTCTCTAATGATTAATGATGTTGAACATCTTTACACATCTTTCATGTGTTTGTTGGTAATCTGTGTATCTTCTTTGGAGAAATGTCTGTTTAGGTCTTCTGCCCATTTTTGGATTGGGCTGTTTGGTTTTTTGATATTGAGCTGCATGAGCTGCTTGTATATTTTTCCTTCCTCATTTAAATGAAAGCAGGGTCAGTTGTCAATCGGGTCTAGGGTCTCAGGAGAAGGGGCATCTCCCACCAGCTTGCCAATTCAAGGTCAACCACTACAGAATCCATATATTCTCATACAGTCAGCCCTCTGTGTCTGTACATTCTGCATCCTTGAATTCAACCAACTACAAATGAAAAATATTTGAAAAAAAATTCCAGAAATTTCCAAAAAGCAAAACTTGAATTTGCCATCCACCAGCAACAATTTACACAGAATTTACATTGCATTATGTATTACAAGTAATCTAGAGATGATTTAAACTGTATGGGAGGATGTGTGTGGATTATATGTAAATCCATTTTATAAACTGGACTTTAGCATCTGAGGATTTTGGTATCTGAAGAGGTCCTGGAACCAATCCCACTAGGATACTGAGGGACGACTGTATATCCATTTTACTCCAGTTCCATGTCACCAGTGCCTACTACAAATTTCCATTCCACACGCCTCTTAGTTATTAAATTTGAGGCCCCAGAGTTAACCTTGGCTTCTTTTCTTTATCCTCCATATCCTCTCAGATACCCTTCATATCTTCTCATTGCATCTCCTAGCCAATGCCACCATAGTGGAAGCAGCACAGGTTCCAACAAAGGGTCTGTAACTCTAATGAGTTAATGTTTCCTCCAAGAGGACTGTCCCCTCCCTTCTCACTAGCATATCCACCAAGCACTTTGGCCAGGAGGTCATTCAGACCCTTGGAAAGCCACGGTGATTGTCCTTCAAGACAGAGGGCTGGCGCCCCCTTTCCCACAGCTCCAGTGCCTCTTCCATTGCCTCAGCTTCTTTATTTTCCAACTGGCTGCTGATTTTCAATTTCCACAACATGCAGTCACTGTGGTTTCAGACATCAACAAAAGGCATACGTCCCAGCTGCTGTGTAGGTCCCCAACCAGCTCCAGGATTCCTTTGCTACTGTGAAGCCTATAAGTCTCTAGTAAGTTTCTTCTTTCAGTGCCATAGCCCTAGCAGAGAAGTCAGCCACAGCCCTTTAGCACTTTCTGAACCGATTGCGGAGTCTCCTTTCAGACACACAGGGAGCTGCCTCCCCACAACGGATAAGCTGTGCCTTCTCTGGCTCCTTAACCTAAAGTCAGAAAACGCCCACCAAACTGCTTAGATCCACACCAGCGTCATGTGCCCTGAGGCAGTAGAACAAGTTGAAAAATGATTTGTGCTAAATATTCATTTGAAATGCAGCCAAGTTGACTTTAGAAAGCCTCACACTTCGTTATTTGATAGCTTCTTCCTGGTTTAGTTGGTAAAATGAGCTCTTTAAGCAGGTAATTCATGACATTGCACCAGGATATTGAATGAGTCAGAAAAAATTTAAAGGTCACAATAAAGTTTAGAAGCAAGTTACAAAAGGATGTATAAATATGACACCATTAAAAATTAATTATAAATACAATCAGAAAAAGGTTTTCAGTAGTTACCCCGAGGGGAGGAAGGGGCGGTGGAGATTACAGGTAACTTTGTGTAACTTTTTTTCTTTGTGGTTTTGTTTCTCAGATTTTCTATAATAACCATATATTACCTTTGTAATCCAATTTTTTTTTTTCTTGCGGTAGGCGGGCCTCTCACTGTTGTGGCCTCTCCCGTTGCGGAGCACAGGCTCCGGACGCGCAGGCTCAGCAGCCATGGCTCACGGGCCCAGCCGCTCCACGGCATGCAGGATCCTCCCGGACAGGGGCATGAACCCGCGTCCCCTACATCGGCAGGTGGACTCTCAACCACTGTGCCACCAGGGAAGCCCTGTAATCCAATTTTTTAACTAATATTATTTAAAATAAAAATTATAACAAAAATGAATCAGAGGTTCCATCCTAAGGAAACTAGAGTTTCTAGCATATCCTGGTATTCTCCAGCTGTGAATTATCGTGTTAAGAAGTTGCTTTAACGCTCTGGGCTTTATTTAGTCATCTACTAAGTGAGGGGTTGAACTAAGACATCCAAGGCCCCTTCTCATGGTAAACTTCTATGATCCAACATTTGGAAAAGTTAGAATATGAGGACTCGAAGACCACAAGGTATGTGCTAGACTGAAATCCATCTATTTGCTATAGGAGTGTTCTGAGCTCTGTCTTTTTTTTTTTTCCTGTTAGTAAAATGAGAGATTTGCATCAGACATCCTCACCAGCCTCTCTCCTCCATGTCTGACATTCTGAGGTCCTGTGGGTCAGACTATGGCTCAGAAATGGTGTCTCACCTGTTAGTGACTCATAGACAAAATGTGCAGTCTGTTCTCATGCATGTTGGACAATGAACCAAAGATGCCGAGGCTGCCAAAGGTGTGTTGTTAAAAGATTGAAAATCCTGTTTCTAACAATCTTTAAGGAGGGCAAAGACAAACACAAGCACATATCTGCCTCTCCTCTTTGAAGGTTACAGACTTCAGGGACTATGGGTTCCACAGACTGAAGGTATCTCATGCATTGTTTTCTGTGTGGCATAGCTTTTTTTGTTATTTCAGCCATTATTTTAAGTTGTCAGATTATTGGCTTGTTCATAATAACAGCAAAGTGCAGGAGAGAAGCCCAGACCTGGGCAGACCGAGGTCTGCTCTCTCTAAAGCAGGGGTCACCAACCCTACCAGTCCGAGGCCCGTTAGGAACTGGGCCACGCAGCAGGCGGTGAGCAGCGGGCGAGCGAGCAAAGCTTCATCTGCCGCTCCCCATCGCTCGCATTACCTCCTGAACCATCCCCCCGCCCCGCCCTCTGTGGAAAAATTGTCTGCCACGAAATCGGTCCCTGGTGCCAGAAAGGTTGGGGACCGCTGCTGTAAAGCACACTGAAATCTCAGGAAAGTCATTTCACCTTAAGTAAGGTAATGGACGTGAGACCACTTTGTAGACCATGAAGCCCTGTACAAATGTTAATAGTTGTTACAACCATTCCCCTCTGGGCCTTAGTTTCCTCATTTACAAAACAAGTTGGTTTTGATAAGACAATTTCTGAAGGTCTCTTAAAAGCTTTGTCTCTTATTTCATGATTCTTCAGTAATTTATTTCAACAAGTTTTACCAGTGGAACCTGGATCAGACTTCCCAGTTCCAGGTTTGGGGTTCTTTTGGTGGGTTGTTTTTTTTTTTTTGCAAAAAACTGAAAAGGACTTATAAAATTCACAAGCATAGTTCAAAACATCAATTTGAATTCGTTTTCATTTTAAACTAAAAATAGCATGTCCATCCCATGCGTGGGAGGAATTGATACCCCAAAGCCATGCAGAGAGAACTGTGGTTTAGATAACTCTACCCAGAGGGATGTCTGGGGCTTGCAGTGAGAAATCGTGATTTGGGGGATTGCTTGTTCCTGCTGTACTGCAAGTCAGAGGAAGGGTGAACAGGTCAACCCATCGAAATGTTTTGTTCTCTCTTTTCTCCCACATACAGGATAAGACCTGGAATGAAGTCGTGGAAACACATCAAAAACTTCCTACTAATCAATTAGACTTGAGAAAGCAGCAAGAGGCTGTGTGGGAACTCTTCACGAGTGAATGCACTTATTTCTTGGACCATTTATTAGTTCTTAAGATGGTAATGCTGGCTTTACTTTTTGTAGTAGATGGAAAACACTGCTTCTTTAGGGACTTGTTTCTCTCTTCCATGCTGAAGGAAGGAAGGAAGTATGGGGTGGGCTCCCCTCTTTCAGAGGATCTTAAGGAAATTTTGTTTATTTTTGGTTATCTGCAACTTGGTTTCTCTTCATTCTTTTCTTAAACATAGCCTGTTAGGATTGGGTGAGACCTTCCAGCTCCCCATGTGATGTCTGAATCTCTTCTGCCTGATTCTCACCCTGTGCTTACATACTCCTCAAGTCAGGGAGCTCACAGCCACCCTCAAGGCGACCATCCCACCTTCGTTCAGCTTCCTCTTTTGGCTCTTATACTCCCTTATGAACAGTGCCAGGCAAATGCTTTTTATCAGCTACGGAGCCACAGATTTTCAGGGCAACCATCCACGTGTAACGCGGGGGTGGGTGGGGAGGGATGGATTATATGGTGTGTTCACGATGTCTGTCATGTAAATGGTGCTCCTGAGGTTGTGCAGTGCAGTAGCCCTGATCTGGGGAGGCTCTGAGCAGAGAATTCCTTATAGAAGAACCACAGGGCAAAGGATGGGAAGGGAGTAAATGCCTTCTAAGACCACAGAGGAGGATGGGCCACATTGCTCCAAAGGTTGCCTCTGCCCATAAGCATTTTTGAATCCTGGCTGCTCCCTTACACAGGCAAAGGCACTGTGTTGGGAGACACGAGTTCAAGTCCTGGATCTGCCTCTGACTTGCCATGTGAACTTAGGAAAGTCTAGTCCTCCATTCCATAAAACACAAGTTGGCGCATGCTTTCTGTAAATGTCCAGATAGTAAATATTTTAGGCTTTGCCAGCTATGTGGTCTTTATTGCAACTACTCAACTCCTCCATTGCAGTGCAAAAGAAGCCATAGATAATTTGTAAAGAAATGTGTGTGGCTGTATTACAGTTACACCTTATTCACACAAATGGGTAGCAGACCTGATTTATCCCACAGGCTGTCGTTTGACAATTCCTGTTCTAAGCTATAAAAGAGAGATGACAGTACTGTCTCTGACTGTCTAATAACATCTGATCATTGAGATGATCAGATTAGTTTCCTTTGAAATCTATCAAGTGCTAGACAGATGTTCTTTTCTGTAAGTAATATTTATTGTGACAGTCATACTGCTAAGTACTTTAGCAAAATGTAAACCACAAAGACACTCAGAAAGTTAAAACTTAGAGACTGTATCAGGATACAGAAAACTAGCTTAGGTAAGGATCTTATTGACCCATGTGACTGTAAAGTCCAGAGTTGAGACAGAATTCAAGGTTGGTTTGATCAAGGGGATCAAAAGCAAGGACAAAATTTCTTTTCGTCCCTCATCCCTGCCTTCCACAATATCAGTGTCATCCTGTGTGTGGCTTCTGTTGTAGTCACAGAGTGACTGCTGTCCTTGAGGCCACGGAGAGAGTGAGAAATAGAAGGGAGAGAGAGAGAATCTCAGCGCACTCATAGCCAAAGTCTTGATTGTCATTCTGATTGGACTGGCTTAAGTCACATGCCCACTTCTGAGCCAGCTACCCGGATAAGGAAGGAAAGTAAGTGCTCATTGGCTTAAGATGATCACATTCAAGGTATGAGGAAGAGTAGATGCTGAGGTGAAAACTGGGATGATATTAGGGAAGGGGGGGCACTGAATCTGAGTGGTACCCAATAGATGTTCACTGCAGAGCACTCACCCTGTGAGCTCTGCTACCTCCCTTGCCCTAATAGACAGTACAGAACTTTCCATCCCACTATAAGCTACATAAGCTTTTTAAACTAGCATTTTTCTGCTTAAAAGAAAGCCAATTTGAGTTTCTTTTCAAATGCCCCAGTGTATTTAAAGTATATAAGTACCTCTCTTTACACAATCAATATGAATTTCCCAAAGTTACTTGTAAATTGGAACTTTGTAACTCAAATAATAAAATAAATTCACTGAAAGACTCAATGTTTTCCTTAAATGGCAAAAATTTCTATAAAGAAAATAATCTTATAGCACAAAGATAGTTTTTTCTAAATTTTCCCAATTTATCTGAACTAATGATTTCTGTTTCTTACAATTACATGCTTTAAATGCTTGGATATTGACAGATTTCCAGACAACTGATGCTTCCTGGACTGGGGGAAACTCTGAGCCAGTGGTTCTCAAAGTGTGGTCCCTGGACCAATAGCATCAGAATCACTTGGGAGCTTGTTAGAAACCCATATTCTCAGACCCCATCAGAGACCTACTGAATCAGAAAGACTTGGGGTAGGTCCCGCTAACCTCCAGTTTAACAAGGCCTCTAGATGATTCTGATGCAAGTTCAAGAACCATTTACTGCATTAATTAAGAAATATGGAAATGGGAATTGGAGAACGCTGGTGGTCTGAAGTCCAGTCTTTTCACACCTATAGTTCTTGAAACATTTGGTCCCTTTGAATGCTTCATCATATTTATACAAAGTATTCCTGTTTCAATAAATTGATCTCTCTTTAGTTTATAGAATGAGAGGCAGGTATTCTGTGAGGATCGACTTGCTGTAGTTTTTCTCTTGTAGGAAAACATCAAATCAAGTAATGACATAAAGCCTCTCTCAGTGTTTTCATTAATATTTAATGGCTTTATCCACATCTAAACATCTTAGCAGTTATCAGGTATTAACTCATTAGTTCTCTATTTTTAATTTCCTGAAAGTAAAGGACATTTGGGTCTTTCACAGAGAAAGGAATAAATAAGAACTCAGTATGAATGTTGTTTTGGTCTCACGTGCTGTTGGCAAGAAAAGAACCTTGGCGATTTCTTTGGCACTGGGAGCAGAGAAAGCCCATCTGAACAGATTATGTTCAACAGGAGTGTTCTTAGGGCTCACAAAGCAGCAGCAGCTTCACACAGAAGAGCACCTCTCCCGTATGTTCTGTGGGGGCTTAAATGTCATCATTCGTGTTTAGCACACCTCTTAACGATTGAAAATACTGATCTCCAAGTTGTTTTGTAAAATTATACTCGGGAGGTTTATGTTTAATGTTCTTGCAAAGGGCAAATATCAAAATTGAAAAACAAAGTAATGTGCTTTTTTTTTTTTTTTTTTAAGATCTTCATGAATACGTTAAAATACCTACAGACTCATGACTATCTCCTGGATGTGGATTTATGGAGACTTTTTGCAAACCTGGAGGAGTTAAGTCAGGTGAGCCAAAGTAGGAAGATTCCAGTAGCCATGTGTTAAAATTCACCAGAGGATGATGAAAATTCATGCTTAGTCTATTCTTCTGGCTTGTATTCCATATTGGAACATGGAATATGGTTTCTTCCATATTTCATCCCCATTCAATCTTATGGTCGGGAGTTCAGGTTAATAAGGAAACCTACACATCCATTGGTATCTTTCCAATAGATGGCAGTTATTAGTTAGCCTTTAGTAACATTTTAAAAAATTCTTCCATGGCTCTTTAAGAAAGTAAACATAGGGCTCACTTCAGCAGGACATGTACTAAAATTGGAGCGATAAAAGGATTAGCATGGTTCCTATGCAAGGATGACACAAAAATTTGGGCAATGTTCCATATTTCCTCTAGAATACAAGCTCTGAACACCTTCTAGAATATGCTCAGGAACCCATCTTGTTCACTGCTGTATCCAGAAGACCTTGAACAGTGCTGAGTACATGGGAAGTCTCAATAAGTAATGTTGAATACATGAATTTCCTCAATAAATGATGTTAAATACAAAAAAAGAATTCCTAAGATCTCCGTCATCACCGTAAATGTCTATTGTCAAATGAATGTTCTTTCTCACATATATTATAAATAAATAATATCTTTCCTCTAAAAAAGGAAGTGAGGTACCAACAAGAATTCATTTATAAGAAAAACTTATAAGAAAATATGTATTGGAAAGTAGAGGAAAATAAATCTTTGAATTTTGCCAGGAGATAAATTTGAAATGGAAAACATCTGTGAGAATGACATTTGAAGTTCATCAGATTTTTATTTCTTACCCCTGGAAGTATACCTACTCTTGTTTTCTTTCTCTCTCGCCCTAGACAAGCTTTGGTTTTGTGAAGTCTTTTCCACATCTTCAAGGACTATGTCGACACTTCTGAGACTTTACCATCGTTGGATTTCATTTCTGTGCTCACAAAGGTAAAATCCGTATGGGAGATCTCAGCTTCTATGTGATAAATTCACCTACCTCTCAGGATAGTTGTTTATATCTCCTTCATCGTTGTTATTGTTGTTCCTGGGAAGGTTCCACCTGCACCCTCCCACAAGGGAACTATCCCTTTCCCCACCAATCAACATTTTCAGAAATAACTTGCAGAATCTGTTTCTCCATTGTCATCTCTCCTGTGTGGGTTTTATTAAGACAAAAATCTGCATGCATGGAAAAGCCCTTTTCAAGTCTGGTTTTCAAATGACTTCAATTTAAAGCTGTATTCATGGCAGTAGTTTGTGTAGGCTAATTACATGGTTCAGTTGTTCTTCTAACAAAAGTGCCAGGCTCTCTGAAAGGAACAAAATAAACCTTCAAATCCATTAACACCCTTAATAAGACTTCTGTGTATGAAAGGAGGAGAAAAGAGGAAAACTTGTACCCGTGGTCTGATAAATGCTATTTTTTTTCTTAAGTAGGTATTTGAACCTCTTCCCCTACTTTGAGCTTTTTAATTCAGTCCCTGTCTATGCTCATTTAGCAAGATTTAAATTGTTGCAATCTACGTAAAGAAACATAGATTGAGGTTTATCGAGCACTTACTAAGTACTTACGTGTGGGACTGATACCCTGTGCACAGTCATGTGCAGAATTAGACACACCCCCTGCTTTGGGGGAGTTTTCAGTCTAGTGGGGAAGAAATTAATCCAATGATGACACTAATGATTATATAATCAAATTGAGATCAATGCTGGGGAAAAAAGGAACATAGATATTATGAAGGAAAACTTCTAGGTTGGGGCAGATGGTGAAGTAGTTACAGACAGGAAATTCTTCCTGGGGCGATGATGCTTGAGGTGAGATATGAAGAAGAAGGACAGTTTAACAAGGCAAAACAAGCAAAAATTAGGTATAAAGTGGGGAGATCTTTCAGTGACCTTCGAAAGCAGATTAGAATAAGAAAAGCTTTGAAAAACAAGAGAAAGAATGTAAAGTGTTGGGAATTACCGAAAATCTCACACTCTCTCAATTCCTTTAGAGTCAGAAATTATCTTTTTTTTAGGACCATCACATGCTACACATTTTTTGTTTTTGTTAATCAAAGGGGCAGAGCCCTTAGTAAGTTACATAATGGACATGAATATTTGGATGTGTATTGGTTCAAGGTCTGAAGTCCCCTTGGTTTTCTTGATAATTTCTTTACTCCATCAAAGGCTAGGACAACTGGTGGGCTTTGCTCCACTTGGCTCTATCCATCTCCTTGGATCAGTGCACTAGCCTGGTCATCCTCTTCTCATGGTAATGGGTGGAAGCACAAGAGAGCATAAACACCCATTATATTGGGTGTTTCATTTTGTGGCTCTTGCTTGGGACAGAGAAGCTGGTGGCAAACATATCCGGGAATACTCATCTAAAGGCTGACATCTTGCTTGGGACATTAGCACCAAGACCTGGCGTCCTAGAATTTATTTTTAATGTAGTTTTTAGTAAATAGTTTTAGTAAATAGTCAATAGTAAAATTGACTCTATATTTTTAGAAGCTGGAAGGAGAATTCAGTATGTGGATATTTTTGAGGAAGATTTAGTAAATAGTAAATTTTAGTAAATTGTCTTAGTCTGCTCAGGCGGCTATAAAGAAGTGCCACAGACTACGTAGCTTATAAGCAACAGAAATCAATTTCTCACAGTTCTGGAGGGTGGAAGTCTGAGATCAGGGTAGTGCCCAGGTCATGTGAGGGCCCTCTTCCAGTCAAAGACCTCTTACTGTATCCTTTGCATAGCAGAAGGGGCTAGACAGCTGCCTGGAGCTTATTTTATAAGGGCATTAATCTCATTAATGGGGGCTCCACCTTTATGACCTAATCATCTCCTAAAGGACCCACCTCCTAATACTTTCACATTGGGGGTTAGGATTCAACATGTGAATTTGAGGGGAACACACATGTTCAGACTGTAGCGTAAGTGCACTTACAGCCTACTACAGCATAGACTCTTTGCTGAAAGTCAATAATAATACCCACATATGAATGCTTCCTGTTACATTACAGATGTGTAAAGATGGGCTATAAAAGTGTTTCCTAAATTTAAAAAGGCCTACATGAGTCAGGTTAATTTCAGTTATACCACAGGAACAAACTCCAAATCTCAGTGGCTTGGTTTCATATCTCACCTATGCTCTGCTCCTACTTTGTCCTCGCTCTGGGACCGCTGCTGAGGGAGCACCCACCACCTGGAATGTTACCAATCTCAACGGCAAAGACCTAAGAGACTGAGGGAGAGCTCTTACTGACTCTTCAAGTTTCTGGCATGTCTGTTCACATTTCATCGGCCTAAGAAAGTCACATGGCCAAGCTTACCCTCGGTGGAGTGGGCCTATATATTCCTCCCCAGGAAAGGGAACTAGATGAGCAGTGATAGTGTGTCTCACAAGAAGCTCACAAGAAGTGTGTCTCACAAGAAGCTCACCAGTGGAAGATTGGGACGTTTGTTATCTACACAAAAGCCATCTGAGAAGTCGCTGAGAAGGAAGCTGAGGCTTGGAGAAGTTAAATCACTTGGCCAAGTTCACATAGCCAGTGGGTTGTAGAGCTGCATTTCTAAGCCTGACTGTTTATGGTCTTCACAGCAGGCTCCTCATAATGGCCTTTCTCAAGCATCTCAGGGTGACCTGTGAGAAGACCTTCTGTTTATTTCCAAGCCCCCAGCTATCACCAACCCCCCAGGAAAAAATTAATTCACATTATCAGCTTTCAAATTACTTCTTCTTGAAGGCAAAACTTGACATTTCCCCCCATAGCGTTTTGTCTTCTGAGGTCCTATAGCAAAATATTTTTCTAGGTTTTTGTTATTTCTGCCTTTACTACTGTCACTTCCTTTACTGGCCTGTTAGGCTTGGTCTGCTGTCTCTACTCACTGCAGTTATAATGTTACCAGCAAGTGCGTCTTCCTTCTCCCATTCACCACATTATGACACTATTGGAAATTCCCTAATGGGACCCATTACTCATTATACTAATTAATAAACCTATCAAGGAGCACGTAGGCTTAGCAACGTGATAGGCACTATGGATTCCTAAAGAGAGTGTCTGCCAGTAAGGAGCCAGAAACATTGGTGAAGAGAAAAGAATAACTGTCATTCCCGAGACAGACACTTAACTGAGATGTGCCCAGTTTGACCATTATACATATGAATGTATACATACGAATTGGCCGCTTGCCTCATTTTAAAATAAATTTGATATGGCTTACGAATGTGTAGTCATTATAGCAAGTTTAAGGCATTACGTAAGCATAATGAAGAAGGAACACAAGTGTTAGATTGGGTAAGACAAGCACATAAAACGCACGCTACGAAACTACATTTAGTAGAGGTGCCCCAAATTTGACTCTCTATTTTTAGAAGCTGGAAGGAGAATTCAGTATGTGGCTATTTTTGAGGAAGATTTCGTGAAAGGTCAGATGTTGTCACTTTAATCACTTACTACGAACACAAGCTTGACAACAACATGAGCAGTGAAACCAAAGGAGGTGTTTGTTATCAGGTTCCATGCAGTGTGGTGTGTAGGCCTTAACAAAGCATAAGTGCAAGGGTGAATTAAATCAATATGTCCTAAATAGAATTTTCTTTATGGGCAAAAAAAAAAAAAAAGGCAACTTATTGAGGAGTTAACTATTTATTATAGGGATATCGGGGGTTTTTTAAACAATGTTTATTTTGAAGATTACCTGTTACTATCCATGCAGTCATAGCTCCTACTTGATAATGGTGCCTCCTCCACTTTCCCTGTTCTAGTTGCTGATAAAAGTGAAGAGAAAGTCTGTCTGTGCTCTCTTTGCTTCCAATCATTCTCCTTCTGTCCTTCTCCTCTTGCAGTATTTCCAAGGAAGCCTGTGTCAGAGCCACCAGACCTACTGCCTGAATTACTCAGCTGCTGTCTTTTATCTTGAGAGTCTGAGGCAGAGAGGGGACTTCGGAATTTATTTAAAAGTAAAGTACCAGGTTCTTTTATATTTTTCCTGAGACTCTTTGGATATAACAGGTACTAGGGATTATTAGACCCAAATTAAATGGGAAAGAAGGAAAATAAATGATCAACCATACATTTTGACTACAAACCTGCTTTCCTTATAAAGATATCATCCTCTGCATACTTAGGATTTTAAATGGTGCACTTCTGGAAACACTGATCATCTAATGTCCCTCCTGAGATTTTGGCTGGAGCTTTACAGTGCTTTGTTTGCTCATTGGTTTGTTTTTGGAAGGAATTGGTGAGAAAACTAGAGTAGGAACTGAGGCTTTGTTTGTTACTAGAGGTTTGGCTCTTGCAGGATTTGGCCCCAGCAAGGTCCTGTTGCACAAAAGCTGGGCACACCATTTACCTTGTATTCTGTGTGAATGGTGCTTCCTGGAGGACGTCAGAGCACACAGTGTAAACACTGCCCCTGAAGTTGTCCAGCATGGTGGCTATGGGTCCCAAAGTGTTATTAGAACAAGGAATCTCTGCTAGGGACCTTCAGTGTTTGCTAATAAGCAAAACAAAAGAATTTTCCTTGCCTTCCCTACTTCCTTTAACCCCTTTTTGACATGTCTTTAGTCTGAACCGTACCTTTCAGCCTTTCAGTATTATGCCAGAGCCCTTTTCATGACCCAAGAAAATGGTCCAAGCCTTTACAGAAAACCAGCTCTTCCCTGCAGCTGCAGGAAGCACCTGCCAGAGCATCACCTCAGAGCTGTGGGAGGAATGGCCACCACACACAGTTTCCAACAACTTTGCTGTGAATTGGTGCATCTTTGCCATGGCCAGGATGTGCCGGGAAACCTGGGCGTGGCATGAATGATCTTGGAAAGAGACTTGGCTCTATTTTTGTAGCTTCATCCTTTCAATGTTTTCTTTGCTACTCAAACCAAAACCTGAAAGCTCATTAGATTTCCAGGGTATGAATAATCTTGTTGCAAAAGTTTTCCCTGGAAGCTTATGGATGAGACCCTCGCCAAGCCCCCAAACTAGGGAGAATCCAGGTTCATTCCTCTCCCTTCCATGCTAGGGCAGAGAATAATTTAACAAGGCTCAGACATTGTTTTCAAGTAACTGGAAAATCCTGTAACAACTGTGACACAGAAGTTTATATTTATATATAAAATATATACAGCATCCAAAGATATTTAGGGAAAGGAATAAGGGATGCATTGTTGTAATGATGACATATGATACTTTTATAATGCATAATGTTTTGCCAAGTACTTTCTCAAACAACTCTTTTTTTTTAATAAATTTATTTTATTTATTTATTTTTGGCTGTGTTAGGTTTGCGTTGCTGTGTGCAGACTTTCTCTAGTTGCAGCGAGCAGGGGCTACTCTTCATTGCAGTGTGCGTGCTTCTCATTGTGGTGGCTTCTCTTATTGCAGAGCACGGCTCTAGGTGCACGGGCTTCAGTAGTTGTGGCACGAGGGTTCAGTAGTTGTGGCTCACGGGCTCTAGAGAGCAGTCTCAGTAGTTGTGACACACGGGCTTCGTTGCTCCATGGCATGTGGAATCTTCCTGGACCAGGGCTCAAACCCATGTCCCCTGCATTGGCAGGCAGATTCTTAACCACCACTCTCCAGGGAAGTCCCAATACCATACTGTTTAATGACTGTAGCTTTGTAGTATAGTCTGAAGTCAGGGAGTCTGGTTCCTCCAGCTCCATTTTCCTTTCTCAAGATTGCTTTGGCTATTTGGGGTCTTTTGTGTTTCCATACAAATTAATTTTTTTTCTAGTTCTGTGAAAAATACCATTGGTAATTTGTTAGGGATTGCATTGAATCTGTAGATTGCCTTGGGTAGTACAGTCATTTTGACAATATTGATTCTTCCAGTCCAAGAACACAGTATATCTTTCCATCTATTTATGTCGTCTTTGATTTCTTTCATCAGCATCTTATAGTTTTTGGAGTACAGGCCTTTTGCCTCCTTAGGTAGGTTTATTCCTAGGTATTTTATTCATTTTGTTGCAGTGGTAAATGAGAGTGTTTCCTTAATTTTTCTTTCAGATTTTTCATCATTTGTGTATAGGAATGCAAGAGATATCTGTGCATTAATTTTGTATCCTGCAACTTTACCAAATTCATTGATGAGCTCTGGTATTTTTCTGGTAGCGTCTTTAGGATTTTCTATGTATAGTATCTTGTCATCTGCAAACAGTGACAGTTTTACTTCTTTTCCAATTTGTATTCCTTTTATTTCTTTTTCTTCGCTGATTGCCATGGCTAGGATTTCCAAAACTATGTTGAATAATAGAGGTAAAGTGGACATCCTTGTCTTGTTTCTGATCTTAGAGGAAATGCTTTCAGTTTTTCACCATTGAGAATGATGTTTGCTGTGGGTTTGTCATACATGGCCTTTATTATGTTGAAGTAGGTTCCCTCTATGCCCACTTTCTGGAGAGTTTTTATCATAAACAGGAGCTGAATTTTATCAAAAGCTTTTTCTGCAACTATTGAGATGATCATAAAGTTTTTATTTAACAATTTGTTAATGCGGTGTGTCACGCTGATTGATTTGCAGATGTTAAAAAATCCTTGCAGCCCTGGGATAAATCCCACTTGACCATGATGTATGATTCTTTTAATGTATTGTTAGACTTGATTTCCTAGTATTTTGTTGAGGATTTTCATGTCTATGTTCATTAGTGATATTGGCCTGTAATTTTCTTTTTTTGTGATATCTTTGTCTGGTTTTGGTGTCAGAGTGATGGTGCCTTCATAGAATGAGTTTGGGAGTGTTCCTTCCTCTGCAGTTTTTTGGAATAGTTTCAGAAGGATAGGTGTTAACTCTTCTCTAAATGTCTGGTGAGCCATCCCATTTTTAATTTTCTAGTTTCTAGTTGTGCCCTTTTTTCCACTTAGAGAAGTTCCTTTAGCATTTGTTGTAAAACTGGTTTCGTGACGGTGAATTCTTTCTGCTTTTGCTTCTGTGTAAAGGTTTTGATTTCTCCGTCAGATCTGAACGAGAGCCTTGCTGGGTAGAGTATTCTTGGTTGTAGGTTTTTCCCTTTCATCACTTCAAATATATCATGCCACTCCCTTCTGGCCTTCAGAACTTCTGCTGAAAAATCAGCTGAAAGTCTTATGGGGATTCCCTTGTATTTATTTAATATTTTCTCTTTGTCTTTAATTTTTGTCAATTTGATTACTATGTTTCTTGGCATGTTCCTCCTTGGGTTTATTGTGTAAGGGACTCTGCACTTACTGGACTTGGGTGACTGTTTCCTTTCCAGGGTTAGGGAGGTTTTCAGCTATTATCTCTTCAAATATTTTCTCAGGTCCTTTCTCTCTCTCTCCTCCTCTGGGACCCCTATAATGCAGACATTGGTGTGTTTGACGTTGTCCCAGAAGTCTCTTAAATTGTCCTCATTTCTTTTCATTCTTTTTTATTCCGTTCTGCGGCAGTGATTCCCTCCACTCTGTCTTCCAGCTCATTGATTCATTCTTCTGCATCACTTATTCTGCTATTGATTCCTTCTGGTGTATTTTTTCATTTCAGTTATTGTATTCTTCAACTCTGTTTGGTTATTTTTTATATTTTCTAACTCTTTGCTAAAAACTTTTAACTTCTCACTTTATATATCCATTCTTTTCCCGAGTTCTTGTATCATCTTTATGGTCATTACACTGAACTCTTTTCTTGGGTAGATTGGCTATCTCCACTTTGCTTAGTTGTTCTTCTGGAGTTTTTATCTTCTTCCTTCGTCTGGAACAATGTATTCCTATGCCAGCTCATTGTGTTTAAATTTCTGTTTGTATTTTTATGTATGTAGTAGCTTAGTTACGTTTCTCAGTCTTGGATAAGTGATCCCCTGAGGGGAAGTCCTATATGTGCCAACAGTACACTCCCCTCTCATCAGTCAAGGGCCAGGGACCAACTGGTCCCAGGTTAGGTTCTGACCTATGTTTGTGGACTTAGTTCTGCAGGCTGCAGGATCGTAGTTTCCTTGCTTCTGGTGTCTGACCCCTGACACTGCTCTAGCCGTTATGCAGGCTTCCTGGTGGGAGGGGCTGGTGGTTGGAGCTGGGTCTTTGCCCTCTGGTGGGCAGGGCTGTGTGAGGGGGTGTGGCTAGAAGTGACTGCAGGCTCAGGATGACTTTAGGCAGCCTGTCTACTGATGGCTGGGGCTGTGTTCCCACCTTGTTGGTTGTTTGGCCTGAGGCGTCCCAGCACTGGAGCTAATAGCCTGTTGGATGGGGCCAGGTCTCAGTGCCAAGGACCCAAAATGTCTGCCTCCAGCCAGAGTTCACATAGGTCCCCGCTATGTCCACCACCAGCTTTTATGACTCCAGAGAGATCCATGGCCACCCCTGCCTCCCTAGGAGACCCTTTAATACCAGCAGGTAGGTCTGGCCCAGGCTCCTGTGTAGTCACTGCTTTGCCCTGGGACCTGGTGCACATGGGACCTTGTCTGCACCCTCCAAGAGTGGAATCTCTGTTTCCCCCAGTCCTGTGGAGCTTCTGCAATCAAGCCCTACTAGCCTTCAAAGCCATATGTTCTGCTGACGTAGGGCTCAGAGCTCTCACTCCTGTGGGAGAACTTCTCGATATAATTATTCTCCAATTTGTGGGTTGCCCACCCGGGCAGTATGGGATTTGATTATATCATGAGTGCACCCCTCCTACTGTCTCATGTTTTCTTTTTTATGTCTTTGGATGTAGAATCTTGTTTTGGTAGGTTCCAGTCCTTTTTATCAATGGTTGTTCAGCAGTTAGTTGTGATTTTAGTGTGCTCGTAAGAGCAGGTGAGCTCAGTGTCCTTCTGCTCTGCCATCTTGTCTCCCTCTACTCCTTGGTCAGGTTTATTCCTAAGTATTTTTTTTTTGATGTGATATTAAAAAGGATTTTTTAACTTTCCCTTTCTGATATTTCATGTTAGTGTAAAGAAGTGCAACAGATTTCTGTGTGTTAGTCTTGTATCCTGCTACCTTGCTGAATTTGTTTATCAGTTCTAGTAGTTTT